TCTGCTGCGTCTGGGCTTTGCTTCTTTTTTTTTTTTATGTTTCGTGTGTGATCTGTGCATGCTTGGTTCTTCTAACTTTTCCTTTTCCTTCTCCTATCTACATCTAACCGAGTGGAGAGATCTTGGAAGGTTGAGATTTAATCTCTTTTTTTATTTTATTAAATTATTGTATTTTTAAAATATAATCCTAAAAAAGGATTAAATTTTATTTTTATATTTTTTGGTTATTTTTGAATAAACTAAAAAAAGATCCTAGCTAATAAAGATTATCTAGAAAATTTAAATTCTGTTAATTATTTTTTTTGAAAATATAATCCTAAAAAGGATTAAATTTCATTTTTATATTTTTGATTATTTATTATTAAATAAAAAAATGCTCGAACAAAATACGGTGTTCACACAAGGTAACATGATGCAACTGTCCCTCTCTGTGTCATGCACCATAACTTGTTGCACATTAGCAAATAGTATTTTATTATCAAATGACAACAAGCAGGAGCAACTTTTGATACGCCCTATTTTTTCATTTGATGTTCGAATGAGGTGTTATAGGTGTCTTAAAAAAATTTTTTTATAAACAAACTAATTGTTGGAAATTGTGTCCTAGAGCCAATCATTGTACTATGTACATTATTATTTAATGAATTTTTCTTTTGTTATCATAACAATTGTATGTTTAATATAATAATTGTATCTCTAGACAAACTATAGTGATTGTCTTAAATGTCCTTGGTCAGTTATCTTTGAGGGATTATAGATAAAACAAGACTGGTATGACTTTGATTAATTATAGAAATATAAATCAAAGTCATAAGCACTTAAAAGAATACAAGGTGCTGGACCGACCTACTGTAAAAAAGCTGTATGGTACAAGTCATAAGCTTATCTCATATGTAACTATATTACTAAGCCCTTTGACCTGAAATCATCATGGATTCCTACATGATAGCCATTGAACTTTGACCTTTTCAAAAATCACCTTTGATCGAGTGATCATAAAGGTTATGATTGAGTTTAGTGATATTCATGCAGAGGAATATGAGTGGTCAAAATGAATTTATCTCTCACATTAAGTGAGAGATATTATTGGGCCCCTCGATGAGTAAGACTGAGAAAATGTATGGCCATACTATAATGAAAATAATTTTTTCATTGTTACTGTCGGTTTACTCAGAGATCGAGAAAGTAATGGTCAAGTAAAAAAGAATGAAAATGTCATGTCTTGTACTTGACTGAAATATTGCGTGATAAAAGAGATGTGATATGGTTACATGATAGGTTACATTGGATCATCGATCCTCATGTGAATTGGATAGTTGCAATGTCTTATTAGAGGTCACTTGTAACTTGTGAGCTAATAGCGTAATTAGCCCACTGTCAATTTCATATGGGTCTACAAGGTTGCACATAAGAATAGCCCAACTCGAGCTATAATGTCTAAGTTCGTTGAATTTGAAATATGTCTAGATTTAATGAATGTAATATAGGGTGAATAAATTTTATATATATATTTAATATTTATTTATTTGATAAATATTTATATATATATATATATATAAAATATAAAATTTCAATATATATATATATCCATATATGTGTGTATGTGTATATATATATATCAGATATATATATGATATATGTATATGATATATAAAATTAAATATAGATAATATATATATATATTTTTTCAAAATATGTATGTATATATATTCGTATATATACAATATAATATGTATATGTGATATATATTATATTATATTAATTTTAAATTTAATTTTATATGATAGATTAAATTTAATAATTAATATGATAAGAGAAAATATCATATCATTTTTATAATTTAAATTTATAAGATAAATTTGAATTAGATATGATATTATAGATTAAATTTATGAGATAAATTTAATTAAATTTTCGTGAGCTTTTAAGTGGAAGACAAAAACCCTTATCTATATACTATATATAGATAGGGATGTCCTTATGAAAAAAGAGAGAGAGAGAGTTAGAAAGTTCTAACGGCAAAAACACTTTGAGAGTCACGAAACACCCTATAGAAAAAAAATTAACATTCAAAGAAGAACGGACGCTTAGAGCACTAACACGCTGTTTGAGTTAGAGAGTTGTTTGTGTAGACATTGATAGAAGGAGCAGATCTATGTTGTCAGCTCCTGAAATCCAAATGTGCGCCAACTTCAAAGAATTAAAAAGATAACTCTTCTATCCACCTTGATTTAAATGAGTTTTTTGGTCCATATCAAGATAAGAACTTCAAAATTTTAATCTTCCGTCCCTATCTTACACCAATGACATGAGTTTTACTTTCAAATTCTTTTACACAAAGAAGTTGGACACTCAAACATATTTTTATAACTTTTCACACTTTTCAAAACTTAATAGTATCCAAAACCCCACCTATGTGTCAAAAAGCTATCACTAACACTCAAAATACATTCAATGAATTTAGGATTATTTGCATAATACACCACGTTCACATAATCTCAACAATATTAAATTTTTACTTCTCAACTCCTTTTATACCAAAAACAAATGGAGGAGGTTTTTAACATTGCACTAGATAAATAATTGCCATAGTTATGATTAAATCAACATTCCTATACTTGCATTAGTATTTTAATCTTATTCACTTTGAATCAAACTTAAACACACATTTTAAGGCCCAAAATACATTCTAAAATTGTAAATAACAATAAAGTGCAAGTGTATATAAAATGCATTCTAATTGGTAATATTCTAATTGTTACACAAAATAAATGAAGATAGAAGGCTTTGCAATAAGAATCCTAAATTTCTAAGCCATTGGAGCCTTTTTCCTTTCTACACCTAAGTTCAAATTTGTAAAAATATTAAAAGAAAGGGGTGGGTATAACCACTCAATAATCAAGATACATCTACTCTACATAGTTGCGCATTAATTGACAAAAATGAATAAATTGAAGTTGAATACTTGGTTCACAAAATCATATGTAACATATATACATTACAATCACACCATTAACTTAATATCACATTTTTTTCATATATTCACGTTATGAGACATATTACCACAATACAGACAACCATATGACAACAGTCCGATTAATAATAATAATGCGCATTGTCACAATATAGACAGCTATGTGACAATGTCACATTTAATTATCACAACTTGCCACAAATTTAATAACCATGTGATATGTAGGATAAACATATGCATGATCAATTCCTTCTTATACTCTCCTTATTTTCTCTAATTGAAACCGTGGGTTATAATATCAATTAAGGCTTTTTTTGTATGATTGAACTACCTAAACTCACCAATCGTGAAGTGTGACCCTATCAAAGATCACATCATTCGCTCTCGAACCACACTTCTCCTATGTTCGAATCTCTAGGGTATCATATACCTTAAACTAACCTTCGCAACTTGGTAATCACATTGCTTTATAGGAGAGTTTGGGAGAATTAGTAAGGGCAATCTTACTGATCTAACCCAAACTTTACATAAAGTCCTTAACCATGGCTCTGAGATTACCTATATTGTTGCGCTTAGATCAAATTCCTTGGGTATATATGGTTATTGGATTTATTGTTTCTAGCTACTACAATAACACATCAAGTCCCATTTGGTTATTGAAAAGAAATGGAATGTGTTGAATGAGAACAAAATAGACAAAAGTAAGGTTGTAAAATGATAGAGAGATGAGAACTATAAAAAAGTGACAGTTATGAAATAATGGATAGGTGGGAATGTAGATTCATGACCTTATTTGTGTTAACCCCCATTCTCACCTCTTCAACCATCTCATAGCTTTCATCTCTCTATCATTATCACCTCTCTATCAATTTATAATTTTATTTTAGTTCATTTTGTATTTTATCAACTCATCCAATTTCATTCTATTTTTTTTCAACAACCAAACAACCTTTAATATCTAAAATACCAATCGATGTTATTTCTGGTAGAAGAGGTTATGATTGCTTGTCTATAAAGTTTTGGATTCAAGTTTGTGTAAACATAGAAAACATCTATGAGAGAGTTATTATTAATTGGATTTGACAATGTTTGAATCTAATTTATTCATATAACTATATAAAAAAGGACCTAAAATGTTGATTCTTTGACATCTTTTCCATAATCAATTTCATCTATGTCTATTTTATATAAATTGAATCTATTTATAAATTCTCATAATTGATCTGAAAGGATTTATAGTCTTCATTGGAATATATTTCGAAACATTATAATCCTATAACAAAAAAAAAATTATTTGCTGTTTTTTCAACAAGTTTCTTCATTTGGTATTATAGATTAATAGCCCAGACGAGGATCATCTCTTTTATCATAAATTGTTTCATCCACAATGTTTGAACCCTCACATTGTTTGAGCAATATGAGTTCTCTGCAGTTCTACTTCCATTCCATCTTTGTTTATTTGAAGATTTTTACGACATCATATGAAAAATTATAAAATTGATAAAGAATTATTACTAAAATTAAGCTTCAATTTTGTGCTAACATAATTCACTGATTTAATCGCTTCTTAATTGTTATCAGTATAACTTGATGTAATGTTCACAAGCAGCTGATTCTGCGATTATCCATCCCCCCAACAAAGAAGAAGAAGAAGACATAAATGAAATCCCATGAAAACTTTTAAGGGTCATATACCTATCAATTGCCACATTATTATTATCATTGACCACATAAAAGAATACGCCGTCCATGTAATCAAAAACAGAAAGTATAAGCCGTCCGTTTTACCCTGCCACTAAATAATCGCCACGTGTCCCCCAACATTTTTGTCGGCGTTTTATTTGGAAAGTGGCCGTATGTGATTGTGCAGGACTGCAGGGTCAGTAAACCAGACGCCGTCAACCTTAACGGCGTGGATCTCGAGTCGAGGGGATCAAAATTAAACGCCGTTTCCTCCTTCCCGCTCCCGCACACTGTAGATTCGGGATCTCATCGTTTTTCGTACCTATAAATATCAGACGCTTCTTCACATCTAACCCTACCTCTCATTTGTTCCTTACCAACGCTCTTCCGTCGGAGGACTTAGCTGCTTGAATTTAGCATTTCGGATCGCAAGCTTCGGGTTGGGCGGCGACAATGGCGGAGGAAGTGGAGAGCACCGTTACTGGTCTCGGATCGGTTATGGAGAAAGTAGCTGAAAAGCCTAATGGTCACAATTCGTCGTCTTCCGATTCCGATTCCGAGAAGCCAGTTACTTCGTCGATGAAGGACAAAGTGTTTCGGCTTTTCGGGAGGGAGAGGCCGGTCCATTCTGTTCTCGGCGGTGGAAAGCGTATGAATCTTTTTGTCTCTTCCCTGCTTTCTCAACGATTTCAGTCTTGTGAGATCTGTGATATATGTCGTGGCCTTTAAAATTAATTAGCATAATCACTGTTTTGAATTGATGGAATGCTATGGAATGTGGATTATACCAATGGATTTTATTATAAATGTGGAGTGGGCAGTGACATGTCTAGGCAATCAGGGATACTGATAGACTAACTTTGATGTTCTCTTTGAACGGAACGATATTTGTAGATTTATATTTTAGGGGATATGGTTTAACGTTATCTCGGCAATCTATATCTTCCTTGTATTATTTGGTATTATTTATTATTTCTATTATGATTTATTTTCTTATTACTCCCTTGGTAATCACTAATTGCAGCTGCTGATGTGTTGCTGTGGAGGAACAAAAAAATATCTGCCAGTGTACTTGGCACAGCCACAGCGATTTGGGTGTTTTTTGAATTGCTTGAATATCACCTTCTCACTCTAGTATGTCACGTTCTGATACTGCTTCTTGCAGTTTTGTTCTTGTGGTCCAATGCCCATACCTTCATCAACAAGTAGGCCTCTAACTTTATAATCTGTTGAATGAAGGTATAGCTATGTACCCTAGGGGGCCTCATATTTATTTAACCTTTTCCAATGCTCAATGAATCGTATTGTAGAACTCCTCCTCGCATTCCAGAGGTTCATCTACCTGAGGAACCATTCCTGCAAGTTGCAGCTGCTTTGAGAATTGAAATCAATAGGGGATTTGCTGTCTTGCGTAATATAGCCTCAGGGAGAGATTTGAAGAAGTTCCTCATTGTATGTGCATATGATTTGCCTTCTCATTCCATCCTTTAATTCAAAAATAATATAATTCTGTCATTATTGAGCATTACAGATTTTGTAAGCTGCTAATCGATCCTAACTTCCTTATATGATGCCCTGGTTGATTTGCTTTACTAGGATTTGGTTAATTGCTGCATTTCAATAAATTTTTAGTGCCTAACTTGGTGGGTTATGTTTATCTTCAAAATTCATGACATTGTCTAATCCTGAGGAATCTGGTGCGGATGTTGTTAGGTTATTGCTGGCTTGTGGATTCTATCAATTGTAGGAACTTGGTGCAACTTCTTGACCTTGTTTTACATATGTAAGAACAATAACAGTAATTATGTTTACTGCATTCTGTTCATTTTATGAAATTTAATTGATCTGAAAATCTTCATTTGGTGTTCAGCCTTTGTTGCATTGCACACAGTTCCTGTCCTGTATGACAAGTACCAGGATAAGATAGACCCGTTTGCTGAGAAGGCTACCATTGAGATTAAAAAGCAGTATGCTGTGTTCGATGTTAAGGTCTTGAGTAAGATGCCACGGGGTCCATTGAAAGGCAAGAAGTCAGAGTAATGAGTTGAATGGCAATGGTTTGAACCGTTAAAAAATGTGGCTCCAGATGTTTAATTTATTAGTTCTTTAGAGCCTTTGGTTTCTTTTGCCAGCCGTTGTTAGCTTTTGGGTTGGATTTGGACGGGTATGGTGGTACCCTTGGCTTCGTTTTCGGCTTCAAGCTGTAGCTTCGAATTTCGCTTTCATGCTATGGTTTTTGCTGGCTTCTCACATGTTAGACTTCTTATATCTGGTCTCTCAGTCATCAATTATGTTAGTGAAAACTTAATATTTTTGTATGTTACGGCTTCGTGCTCTTCTTGGTTTTATATGCGAGCATGAAACTTCTTCTTGGGGAAATATTTGAAGCCCATTGATGATTGAAAAAAATGGGCTTTTCGCTATGTTGCCATATTTCTCACCTTTTATTGCGGAATTTCATTACTCCAAAAATTCTATTCCTCGGACCTTCATCCAGATCCCTTTCAGATGAAATGGCCCGCACATCCACGTTGGCGTAGTAAATCTAAGATTGAATTCTTGAAGTGTATTGTTAGAGAAAATTGAACCTTTGTTGTTGAATTAGATGATACATTTTCTCATATATTGAGAGCAAGTGCTTTCTCCCAGTTCTTATTTGGCTTTATTTTGCAATGGATTTACAAAGTTTTGATTTGGAGTTGTGAATTTATTAATTCGGCTTGGCCCTTGAGTGCCCCATTTGGGATTTTGGAAGAACTTTGAAGGGAATGAAAGTGAAAGTGGAAATGGACACGGTGGGAGCGGAATGGATGTGGAGTTTAAAAGTTTTGTTTGATGTATGGAAATTTTGTATAATTTTTATATAAAATGTTTGTTTGTGATGTTGAGTAGAAAAAAAGGTAAGAGTGTTGTTGGACAATGTTTTGAAATTCGGATCGGACATCGAATTGAAAAGAGTAACAGGTCACTGTTTTTATGGTTCAACCGGTTAGATGGGTGGTTGAATTGGTGATATAAAAATTAAATAAAAAATAAAATTTATATGCGCAATTATATAAATAAAATATTAATTTATCAATGGTGCTTGAGATTTCAATTTCAAAAGTTAGATGCTTGGATTGTTGGAGCTAGAGGTAGAGGTATGTTAATAGCTTGTGATCTCAAAGAAAATATTGAAGTTAGAGGCATGCCGTCATATTATGACTCATAAGCTTTCGATCTTGATGTTAAAGATTGAATATTTAGAGTTGGAGGCAAATGTTGGAGGAGAAGTTAGAGATTGAGTTTGGATTATGAAGGAGAGATTAGAGATTATAGAAGAGAAGAAAAGAGAGAATTAGTGATTAGAAAAGAAAAATTGTGAATTTAAGCAACTCAGTCTAATTTTTTTTTAATTTTTTTGGCTTTGAACCGGGTTGACTCGGGTCCGGTTTTCGGGTTAATGCCGGTTCTATCAAAACCGACCGGTTCAACCCGGGTCAAAGATTAGATTGGTTCAATTGGTTGAACCGGACCGTTTTGTTCAGTGGGTGACTGTTGGATCGGTTGGACCGTTCGGTCCGGTCTGGTTTTCACAATATTGCTGTTGGCCCCTCAAATTTTTTGTTTTTTGTTTTTTTCTTTTTTGGGTGGGGTTGGGGGGATGATTCTCTGACTCTGTTGCGAGTGTTCGATTATCCACGTGTTTGGGAATTTGATTCAGATCCTCTCATAAGCTCTTCCCTCAGCGGTCCTCAATCTCAGCCATTCAACTCATCCAATGTCTCTTATCTTGCCATGTCAGGTTGAAATAATTTAATTTAAAAACAATAATTCTTTCCTCCATGTTTGGACCGAGTTTTGCGACGAGATGTGATATGTAAAAGGCTGTTTCATGAAAATAAGGAAAACAAAAGGGCAGGAAAAGGCTGTTTCATGAAAATAAGGAAAATAATTGGGATCAGGTCAACTCAAACTTACCAAAAAAATTTAAGAGCAAATAAAAAACTAATATTTTTAAATATTAATTAATTTTTTAAATTTTATGTCATTTTATATAAAAATATTATATATTTGAGTGTATCATTATACTTATTTTTTAAAAAAATTAAAAATATTTAAAATTTCATATTTTTATTCAATAAAATATCTCAAAATGTTATTTAAAATATATCTTAATCTTAATCTTTATATTTTAAGACCCACTTATTTTTTTAAAAAATTTTAAAGTTTTATACATCGTTCGAGTATTCAAAAATATATATTTGCTATTTTTTATAAAATAAAATAATTAATTTTAAAAGAAAAAATTAAATTAAAAATAAATTTAAAAATAAAATTCAGGTATATATGAATTCTCAGCTCTACCATTAGATAAACATAATAAATAGAACAAAATATTTGAATAATTATTTGATTATTGTTCATACTAGACTTGGTTAAAAATTAAGAATAAATTAAAGTAAATATCCTTTGTATGTAGAGGTTAAACAATATAAAAAGTTTAATAAAAAAATAATTAAAAAATAATATTTTACTTATAATTAAATGATTTTGTTTTATATAATATAATGATGATTATTTTTTCATATTTTTAAAAATAAAAAGTATAGTTTACCCAAAAGTTATTGAAAATTTTAATTAATTGAGGCAATAATTTTAAATTTGTAACTTAATCATGATTGAATTGAGATCAATATAATCATAATTAAAATAATATAATTTAATTCAAATATATAGAATATTTATATATGATTATGATAAGAATAATATTTAAACAACTAAGACATGAATTTATAATTAAAGTAAACATTCATGAACAAATTATACATAATACAACAAAGCTATAATAGAGTTATTTAAGTACAAAGTTGATAAGTTATTATTTTTTTAAAGTCAAAACAATATTTTATGATTGACAAAGTTACTTAAAAATTAAAATTGGTTTAACAAATAGAGAAAAAATATTTTTAAAAAATTTTGAGTATTCAGGCCAGCCCAAATAAACCTAAGAGTGTTAGGGTCAAGTTTAATTATATAAACTTTTTATATAAGATAGAATACTTTAATACTAATGTGAATAATCTTGACTCAAATCAGTTTGGACTCTTCATGGTTAAGGCTAAAAGAAAGCCATCTTAGAATTAAAATATCATTTGATAGATTTAACACTCATTTAACTTTATATCTTCTTTCTTATGAAGTACTACAATATTTGAATAATGAATTTTCTCTCTCTTCTTTCTTGTGAATTACATTAATGTGTGAATAATAAAGTTCCTCCGATTTTTCTTCCTTAACAAGCAGGGGAAAAAAAATCAAGGCAGAGAGATATCCCCGGACATGGTTACAAACATATGATGGTGGTTCACATTACCCCTAAAAATAAAATCAGCTTGTAATCCCTCGTTTGGTTAGAGGGTAGGAGAAATTTTAACGAGTTTGATTCAAATGAAATAGATAATTGAGATAAATTTTAATTAAAAAAAAAGATGTAAAGTAAGAGAGTAATGAAATTTAATTAAAATCTTAGAACCTCATTTTTCTATTTTTTTTAAAATTGAACTTACAAAAATCTCCGTTCCTCTGCCTTCCAACCAAACACAATCAATGAGGGGACGTAATATATCATCAATCAAATATGTAATATAAGTAATAAAAAATTCATAATATAACAAATTCTACTGTTCATGATATTTTTTTTAAAAAAAATTTAACAATAACAAGTTTTTTTCCCCTAATTCAACAATGTAATAGAAAACATATTCAGTTATCAGACGAAAAATAAAAATAAAAAGGAAAGCTGCTCATGGCATACATTGGAGAAACAAAGGGGCACTAAGAGACAAGACAGAAATCAGATCATTTGACTTGTTTAACATTCATACAATACTCTATTAGGCCGAAAACACAATCATCCAGAAATAGCCATCAAGGCACGCCAATCATAAGCAATACAAGGTTACTTTCAAAACTAATCACCTACCTTCAACTATATAAACCTCTCTTGTTCAACAAAGAGCAGCACGTCCCCAGATAAAAGGGGAAACAAAAAGAGAAAAACTTCAAATTTCAGACGAGAGAGATCAAATGGCAGGTGCTTTAGGAACTCTGACACCAATTTTCTTCTCAGTGGTGCTGTTTATCCTCGGAAGAGGACCAGATGCTGGTGGAATTGCCATCTACTGGGGTCAGAATGGGAATGAGGGAACTCTAGCGGAGACTTTGTGCTTCAGGAAACTATGACTTTGTGAACATAGCTTTTCTCTACACTTTTGGCAGTGGAAGAATTCCCAAAATAGACCTTTCAGGCCATTGTGATGCATATAGCAATGCCTGCAAGTCTCTAAGTGGTGACATAAAGCCTTGTCAAGCCAAAGGCATTAAGATCATGCTTTCAATTGGTGGAGGTGCTGGGAGCTACTCATTAGCATCCTCAGAGGATGCTAGACAGGTTGCCAATAGCTTCTTGGGAGTAAACTCACCTTCTCGTCCTCTTGGTGAAGCTGTCTTAGATGGCATTGACTTTGATATTGAACAAGGAACAAACCAGCATTGGGATGATCTTGCCAGATATCTTACAGGTGTTGCTAACATACATTTTGGTTTAAGTAAGGTCCAAAATAATTGGATTGACTATAACTTTTTTGCTATTTATTGTTCATCTAAGAGTTTAATAATATTATTCTCTCGGTCATATGGATCACCTAAAGAACAGAGAGAGAGAGAGAGAGATCATGAGGGAATAAAGAAGGAAGTAACGAAGAATGAGTCGGTGGTTAATTACACAACCCTGACTTTAAAAAGTTTTATCATTGATCTAAATGATGAAGTATGATTAGGTAATAGTAAAACTGAGATAGTTATATAGTCGTGCGTTGTAATGGCCATCTCTACTTTCAGGACACAGCAGCAAAGGAAAGAATATTTACTACAGCAGCCCCACAGTGTCCTTTTCCTGACGCTTGGCTTGGAAATGCCGTTAAGACTGGCCTTTTTTACTATGTCTGGGTTCAGTTTTACAATAATCCTCCATGCCAGTACAGTTCTACAGAAATTGCCAATCTTGAAAATGCCTGGAAGCAATGGATTGCAGATATCCCAAGTACAAAAGTTTTCTTAGGCCTGCCCGCATCTCCTCAGTTAGCTGGAAGTGGCTTTATTCCTGTGACTGATCTTACATCAAACGTGCTTCCAGATATCAAAACCACTGCAAATTATGGAGGTGTCATTTTATGGTCCAAGTACTATGATGATCAAACTGGATATAGTTCCTCCATAAAAAGTGATGTCTAGAATCTTATAACTGCATGCCTGTGAGTCTATAGTGCGTACCATTCCTCTTGTATGTTCTTATGTGATCGCCGTACATGAATATGAATATTGAATACAATACTCCATTATTCTAATTCATTTATAAGACTAGCTTTTTGAAATCAAAACA